CCCCCGTAGGGCAAATGACTTCACCTCTTTGAACCACATTTTTCTTCTGTAAAATGGAGATAACCATACCACGAGGCTATCATAAATCTAGAAGAGAAGATCTGTGTGAAAGATCCTTCTTCAAGAAAAATACTTATTATGGAAACTTCCAAACATCCACAAGAAGAGAAACCATTATAATGAAGCCTCAAGTGCCATCATCAACAGTGTCATCATGTTTAATCTATATCTGTATCCCCTTACCTCTCATCTCAACTGTAATATTTAAAGCTGGTACGAGACATGTCCTCTTTCCCATAAATACTCCAATATTAACCTGCTTTAAATATATTTATAACTAGAAAATGATACAATGAGAAGAATGACGAATCCATTTACAAAAAAGCAAATCCTGAATTATGCCCCCTCACATACACACAAAGACAGTTACATTTTTTTCTATGCACATGCTTTTAGTAAAAAATTGGGTCACATTCTGTTTACTATTTTTAGGTATCATTTTATTTTAATTATAAAAATAATAAAACCATATTACAAAAAATAAAGAGAAGAAATTACCCACAATCCTTTACCACCTAATATTAAAAAACTTCATGTTTTTGTAGAGTTCCTGCTTATTTTTTTCAATTTGCATTCATAATTTTACCACAAGTGGAATCCTACTGATTATGCACTTTTCAAGTTATGAATCTGTGCTAATTGTACAAAAACAATGTAATCATACTGCAGGAAAAGTTTTTAAAGGAAAAGAAAAATATCACCCATAATTCTACTACTCAATTATAATCACGGTTAACATTTTTGGGGTATTTGCTTCCAATATTTTTTCTATGCATATGTAAGTTTTAGATACTCTTTTGGCAGTTTATTAGCTATAAAGTTGTAAGAATAATACATTGCATGACATGGAGAAAAGAGAAAAAATTCATAATCCTATCCTTTTCTGGCACTGTAGCCTTGTTAGTGTGTCTTGGATCATTGCTTTATGCACATATTCATACACACTTGGAAGCATAAAGTGCATTTCACCTTGTATTTTTGTGCCCTTTGCTGAGATTTAGCATCATATTTATGCAACTTTGTACCCAGCATTTTCATTAATATTTTGTTATAAATATTTTCCTATAAATGTTTTTTAATAATGGTTTAAAAATCCTTGCCATGGACCTTTCCATTGATTTCCATTTTTTACTATTATAAACAATTTTTCCAAACATTCTTGAACAAGAACTTGTATTTTTATACTTTTCTATACACATGTTGAGTTTCTGGAGACCTCTTGGTGAATTTACAGGCTGACTCAGAAAACATAATCATGTTTTATAGGTCCCAAATTTACTTTTGTCATATGGCTCAGGTAGATCTTGCTCTGGGGGAGGAGGGGGGCTGTTGAGAGCAAATCGGCATTCTCCTCCCTCTCCTTCTTGAGTTTATAGACCTCTTCCTTCCCTACTTGGTCTGATTTATCAATTATTCAGTCAACAGGTTACACTGAACCGGAAGTGTGAGCTGAGACCCGGATGGGGCAAAAAAGGAAAAGACTAGAAGGCATGGGGCCATCCCAGATTTCCCAGGCCATTTACTCATGAAGAGGCAGGCACCAACCACGTTATGCCTCTCCTTTGGATCCTTACAGATTACTTAAGGGCGGCGATTGGGATCCCCACTTAACAGATAGGGAAAGTGAGGCCCTCTGTGAAACAGTGCTATTTGGCTTAAGATCCACAGTTAGCAAAATAGCAGAGAAGGTATTTTAGCCCAGGGTACTGAGCTCTGATCCTGCACTCTGGACCTACTCCTGGCCTTCAGGCAGCAGGATATAGGGGTGTTGGGTAAAGACTTTGTAGCCAGACTGAGCCGGATTCAAACACTCAGCCTCCGGGCTGAGTGAACTCGGGCACTTCAGGGAGACCGTTTAAATTTTTGTAATCCAACCCAACCTCACCAGTCTGCCTGGCAATGAAATGAGAATGATGGTTGGGAACAAGCCAGGCCTATTGCTGGCGCACAGACGGCTCTTGCTGAGTGACCATCTCTGTTCTCTCTCTGCTTCGCAAGCTCGCTGGGTCCAGTTGCCAAGTTAGAGATAAGAGTTCAGCGCAGAGCTCGGAGCTCAGCTGGGGCTAACAGGGACGTCGGTGACCCTGGGCATATTTGCAGAGAAATGCAAATGTCTCCTTTGCTCCTTTCTCAGCCTCTGCAATTAACCTTCTCTCCCATCTCCCACCCCACCCCACCCCCACCAAAGGAAAGGGGTGGCTTTTTGAGCTCCAGAGATGGGCAGTGAAAGCCCACCCGCCATTCTTGCTCCCCAGGAGGGGGGCCATAGAGATGAAAGAAGGTCACCTGTAGGGAAGCCCTTTCTGATGTGTGGGCACCGAGAAATGTGGTGGAGGGCGCTCCTTTTTCTGCCCTTCAATGGTCCGGATGGGGGAGGGGGCTGGCTGTTGAGCAACTGCTCAGGAGACACTCCAGAAGCCGAGATGAACATATGCCTCTTTCTAACAATTGGCCTAGGAGCCATCCAATACATGGAGGGCGGATCCGCACGGATCCGGAGCCTGCCGCCGCCCTCACGCTGCCGCCGTTTGCAAACCATCCCGCCAGTGACTTTGAGCTAGGCAGAGGGGCCGGTCGGGCGCGGGGGGAGGGAGAAGATCGAGGTTCTGATTATTGATGCACAATTCCAAAGCCTATGATCGCTCCTTCTCCACTTTTCCACCACTTGATCCTGCAAAAACATGTTTCCCAGTCCAGGAGAACACCAGGGAGGCTTAAGGGTAAATGTCTCGTGCAAAACCAGTAGGGCTTCAGAGTCCCAACGAGCCCGCCTTTTATCAGAGGGAAACTGAGTACAGGCCACAATCTTTAGGCAAAGTGAAAAAGTGTGGCGAGACGTGAAGCATGGTTGTTACTCGTGTTCGAGTTGGGACAGACTGTGTGTTTCGGCGGGGGGGGGGTGACAAGCAAGGCATTTTTGGGCGGGAGAATGGGTTTCTCTGGCACCCAGAGCGCTCATCCTGGCTTCCATAGATGCCAAGGAAGGGCTTTGCTTCATCCCTCCTTTCACTCCTCCTCTTTATGTCAGCAAGGTGATCAGGTCGTCAACAAACAGAACTTTGTTAGAACAGGGCACTTTGGGATACTAGAAGAGAGTGAGAGAGCGAGCGAGAGCAGAGCAAGAGCGAGCAAGAGAGCGAGCCAGGGAGTGAGAGAGCCAGGGGGAGGCGACCTTCAGGTCTCAAATCCAATTAGGAAGACGAAATACAAACGTCGTAAAAATGACTTCTTTACATTTACCTCTTCCCCTTTCTTTAACATCGAGGCTTTTTTTTAAAAAAAAAAGCATGTTTTATAAATCGTATAAACTGAGTAGTTGTTTCTGAGAGGCGGCAAAAGGAGGAGAGGGTTTGATTAGAAGGCTAATCTCGGTGGCCTTCCTGTACGAGGTGGAAGGTTTGGTTTTGGTTTGTTAGTCACAAGGAACGAGAATAAAGATGATGGAGAAAGCCCATACAAAACTAAGTAAGATGTGCTTCAAATGCAAAATGTTACTCATACTAGATGGGAATGATTATATAACCACAATAAAATAGCCTGGCAGCTTGGGAAGGAAAGAGGGATCTCTGTGAACTCCAGAGCAAGCTTTTCCAACCCCGATTCTTGGCTTTTTGGGGAACCATGTTAGGTGCACCAGGTCTCAGGGTCCAGTGGAACAGCACTTCTCAGTATCGCATTCAGCCAGCCTCCTTTTGCCCTGGATGTCCACAGCACAGAAACTCTCGAACCCAACAGCAGCTCTGTTCCTCCAGAGAAGCCGCCCTTTCGATCTCTGTAAGCCCTCCAAGTGTCTGCCCAGAGGGTGGCGACTTAAAGGGGACAGGGACTCCCCCAGCCTCAGCCTTTGGAGGAGGGAGGTGGTGTAACCTAAAGAGGGCAGACAGCCAGCAGAATGCTAAAAATAACCTGCGTGTCCATGGTGTCCCATGTGCGTCCCCTTCCTCTAGGTCATTCTGTAAGCCCACCAACTCTTCCCCAGCCCCTTCAGCCCACCCAGGCAATATCTAGATTTAGGGCAGAAGGCGCACACTACCAGCTCGCCTCGCCTTAGTGGAATTTATTGGGCAAGTCCACGCAGGGCTGCGGGGAGAGCCCATGTCTCGGGCCCAGGCCCATTCAGTTTAGAAGCACAATCCCTAGGCAAGGTATGGAGCAAGGGGTCCCTGATTGTGAGCGGGGCAGTCTCGCCCCAGGAACCGCGGCCATCCCCAGAGCTGCGGGAGCAGCGGACTGCGCGGACTCCGTTCCCCAGCCGGCCCGTCGCTTTCACAGGATCCGCGGTGACTGCACCAGCTCGAGCGCCTTTAAAGGGCCACACACACCAGCTGCCGCTATAAAATGTTGTTGGCGAGCGGGCCGCAAAAGGTGCACCCGGGAGCTGCGGAGGGGAGGCTCGCTCCGCCCGGCTGCTCCTCCCACCGCCTGGCCGCTTGGGGCCGATCCCGGCGAGGTGGACGAGGGTAGAGGAAAGCGCCGCTGCGCAGGTCTTCGTGAGTATCCAGTTCAGATTTTGCTACCAACTCACCCACGAGCCAGGACATGTGCTAATAATGCCCTAAGCCGGTTATAAAGACGTGGAAATTGGGGGAAGAGGGGGGGAAAAAGGGTCTGTCCTTCCTGGGATTCCTAGCCGAGACCAGCCTGCTGCCGTGTGCGTGTGCGCCAGGGCTCTCCGGGCAGCAATGGGGGATTGAGAGCCGGGTCCCCCGCGCTGGGAAGGGAGCGCGGTGGCTGCCACCGCCACCGCCCTGGAGTCCGGCGCCGAAGCTGCGGGCGGGCTGGCGGGCGAGCACGGGCGCGGGCCGGGGCTGCTTGGCGCGGCGCGGCACGGTGCGGTGCGGCGGCGCGGCGCGGCGCGGCGGTGCGGGCTTTTCCCAGGCGCCCTGGGGTCGGGTCGCCAACGGCGTGACCGCGGCCACTAAGCGTGACGGGCTCCTGGCGGCAGCCGGCGTGCGCGCCTAGGGGCTGGGGGCTCCGCTTCGACCGCGCTTCCCTCGTTCGATCCTGGGCAGGCAGCTTCGCCTAGGTAAGCTGGGGCCGCCGGGCAAGGCGCTGAGCTGGGAGGCGGGGGCCCTGGACTCCTTGCGAAGCGATCTTGGGCACTCCGAGAGCGGTGAGCGAGCGAAAGAGCGGCCCAGGGGCGCCGAAGGACTTGTTTTCTGTTTGCAAGCTGCTGTGTTGGGGGCATGAGGGCCGACGCCCGCCCGCTCGTCCGCCCGCCGCTTCTCCGTTCGGCCGGCTGGCCCGAGCGCTTGCTGCTCTCCGGAAGCTGCAGCACCTTTCTTCGGGCTCCCGGCAGACTGACCGGTCGCCCGCGTTTTCTCCCTCTTGCGTTTCTTCCACCGATTTTTGCCAATTGGCTGGATGGATGATAGCGGGACCCTCGGGCTGAAGGGCTGCCCAAAGCTCAGGTTTCCTTTAGGGACTGCGGGCGTCAGCGGCTTTGGAGCCGAATTCGGCGGGATCCCTAGATAAAGTTAACGAATCGGGACAAGTTGCCTTCACTGGCCAGTGGACCGCGTCTCTCCTCCGCACCTATGCCCCCGCCCCCACCCACGCGTCCACCCAGCTCTTATAAAGCAGCGCGCGGACTCGCTGCTTCGCAGAACCCTGGACTTGGCGTCCCACAGACCTAGCTGCGAATCCTGACTGTGCCACTTTCTAGCGCTGTGACCTTGGGCAAGTTACTGCACCTCTCTTTGCCCATCTTTCTTGCCTTTTCTTTTCTCTTCTCCTTTTCCCTTCCCTGCGCTTGTCTTCCCTCCTCTACTTGTCTCTGGTCTTCCCTCTTCTCTCTGGGGTGGCGCACCGGGCTTGCTGCGCTGACCCCAGTCGGCCCGCTAGGGGCTCCGTAACTGGCGTGAGGCGCGCGAGTGTTGGCCAATCGCGCTGACGCCCACGTGCGGACCCCGCACCTCCTGCCGAGAGCGCTTGAGGGAACTCGAGCCGCGGGACGGCGCAGTCACCCCGGGGTGTCCGTACCCACCGTGCAGGGGCGCGTCCCGCCGTCTTGGCCTCTGAGGTGCAGCTGCGCGGCGTCCGGAAACCAGTATTGACTGGTCTGCTTGTTAGACCGCGTCGTGGTGGGGTCGAGCGCTGCTGCGGAGGTCTCTAATAGCTCCTGAGGGAGAAAATAGCCATGGACACGGAGACGTCCGGTTGGTGCCATATTAACTTTTCCTTCAACAGGTTACCAATTCTTCCCGCCACTACCACTTGCCTGTTTTTTCCTCCTGTGTGGGAAGGAGTGAAGGGGAGGACGGACGCTAGGTCGGGACTGGGGGAACCTAAGGACCAGGACGGGTAGACGCTTGCTGGGAGGCAAGGACGCACTTGTTGCTCGAGTGTCGGCAGCCGCCTGTGGCAGCGGCTTCGCTGTGGTCAGCTAAAGGCTTAGAGCGCGCGCTAAGACGCTTTCCCGCTACCAACTTGGACCCTCCCATGGGCTGGGGGGTCGAGAGGTGAAAGAAACTCAGAGAGCAGGACCGGGGCGGGGGACCGCCATGGGAATGTGATTGCCTCTTGAAATGTTTTTGTCATTGCCTGAGCGTCTCTGAACCCCGGCCGGCCGACCCAGAGTGACAGAACTGAAGGGGGAGTCGGGGCCCCGCCGGGGTGGCGGGGTGGCAGAGGTGGCGGGGCGAAAAGCTCAGAGCCAAGCCTCAAGGGGGAAACAGGGGGAAACGACCCGCCAAAGACCGCTTACTGAAGAGCTCCGTCACACACCCCGATTTGTAATAGAGGTTGCATAGGAAGAGGAAAAGATGGGCGGCCCCCCTGCACACACACACACACACACACCCTCGACATTTTTTGTCCGATGCTGAAAGGGAAGGTGGTGGGCTCTCGATGGGACAAAAAGTAGAGCCTTTTTCCTCTGCTCGCTGCCATGGAACAGTGGAGAGTCGTCCTGGAGGAATATGAGCGCTGTTTGGGCTTCTGTGAAGCAGTGGCTCCGGACCCACCAACTGGTTTTTCACTCATGTTTTGTCTTCCATTCCACCACCCAAGTAAGCAATAGGTTGCAAAGAGAATAGAAGGATTGTAAGGGTCTACTTTCTAGAAGCTTCGGCTAGAAGATTCCTAACGACCACTGAGGCAGAGGCTGAGGGGACATTGGTGGGTAATATACCAGCAAAGTGTAGGCTCCTAGGGAAAAAAAATGACTTTTTTTCAAGGACCTCAAGATTCTTTAGACCAAGCAATATTTACAAATATGAAATATGGCATATTTTCATTGGCCATGGAGGCTAGACTTATGGGGCTTTTCTTTTTCAAACAGGTCTCTGGGAAAATAACTGGACAATGCCGGGCATTTTTAGATTTACTCATTTGGGGCATTCATTTACTATCAAACACCTCCCCCCTCCGCGTATCTTTTTGGCACTTGGGCCAGACTCATTTCTTCCAAATGTATCTGAGTCTTTCCAGGTAGGAGAACTCTCTTGTCAATGCTCAAGTGAGGCAGGTAGGCACGCATGCTCCCAAGACACTGCCTCCTAACTGCACAGCCTTAGAATTTTGGTACCTGAGTTGCCTCAAGGTGCAGATGCCCTGGTAAAGCGGTGCTTGGACTGTATGAGAAGGGACTTTGAAACATGGAGGGAATTGAGACATTCCTAGCTGCTGTCTGGTTCCAGCTGCCACAGAGACCCCACACCACCCGGATCTGCTTGCTTCTTCCAGGCATGCCTCAGGCAGGGCTTTGAGCCCTTTTGACATTTGCTTGAGGGAACTTGCTGGGCTGCACATCCAGCTTTTTAGCTTAGCCTTGTGTAGAATTCTTTCCATATCTTCCCAGTGCTAGTGGAGACTTAGATGTTAATGGTCTGTTGACACAGTGCACTGCTTACTTGGGGACACTTTTATTCTCAGGGAGAGCACCATCCCCTCTCCCATCCCGACCCCCAACTTGGGACATTGAAATCATTGTTGTGAAACACAGTGTTTTGTGTTCTGTTTTGGTGTTGTGGCTAGCTGGCTTTGTGGGCACTACCTGGCTGGCTGCAGATCAAAATTCCTGTGTGCCCAGGCAATCTCTGGTGTTCAGTATAATCCTCTCACCACCCTTACCTTATAGGTATACTTCAGACTCTGCTATGTTTTGTTGGTCAAGGAAGCCTTTGCCCTTATCATGTCTTTTCTCTCACTTATAGAACAACAGCTCCAGCTGGCAGAATCACCTCCTGAGATCGCATCTCACTTGTGCCAAGGCTCTGAAATGCCAACTATGTCGAGGCCTGCACTTGATGTCAAGGGTGGCACCTCCCCTGGGAAGGAGGTAAGTTTTGTCATTTGACAGATGGAGACACTGAGGCATGGCAGAATGAAGCTTTGAAAGGTCTAGCCAGTATCCTGGAATAAAGGAGCCTGAAAGGCTTTCTCTGTGGAAAATGGGTATAGCGTTTGCTTAAATGTGGTCAAATTGAGCCCACGTCTCAATTGAAAGAAAGTAGGGAAGAGGGGTTGGGAAGGTGGCTGAGTGATACAATGCTTGCCTTGCATGCATGAGGCCCTGGGTTTGGTTCCTCAGCACCACATAAGCAGAAAAAGTCGGAAGTGGCACTGTGGTTCAAGTGGTAGAGCGCTAGCCTTGAGCTAAAGAGCTGAGGGACAGCGCCCAGGCCCAGAGTTCAGGCCCCACCACCGACACACACACACACACACAAAAAAAAAAGCAAGGAAGAGATCAGAGAAGCAGGATTGGATTCAACAAATGTGTTAGACATTAAAGAAATAGTACCAGTGGCTCACACCTGTCATCTTAGCTACTCAGGATTCCGAGATCTAGCTTGCCCAGGCAGAAACATAAATAGCAAAAGGCATCAGTGAGTTGTGGCTCAAGTGGTAGAGCACCACCCTAGCAATTGCTAGGGCCTGAGTTAAAACCCCAGTACCACCAAAAAAGAGACAGTAAAGTGATAATGAGAAGATGGACAAGGAACTGGAAGATAATAATTTTTTTTTGCCAGTCCTGGGGCTTGAACTCAGGGCCTGGGCACTGTCCCTGAGCTTTTTTCTCAAGGCTATCACACTTGAGTCACAGCGCCACTTCTGGCTTTTTCTGTTTATGTGGTACTGAGGAATTGAACCCAGGGCTTCTTGCATGGTAGGCAGGCACTCTACCACTAAGCCACATTCCCAGTCCGATGATATTTTAAAAATAAAATTAAAATTAAAAATATAAAAAGAAGGTGGGCAAGGAGAGGGAGATAGAAGGAGCTAACCCATTTAGGATAGCGTGTGCTCTGGCAGTAGAACTAGGGTATCCTCAGAGTTGAGGTAGCAAAAAAATAATTGAACTAGGAACCTAACTAGGAACCTAAATTTATTTCCTTCCTGGCTGCCTGCCTTCTTTTTGTTGTTCTGTTTTTGATGGCGATGGTACTGAGGTTTTTTTTGTTTTTGTTTTTGTTTTTTTGGTTCTGGGGCTTGATCTCTGGGCCTGAGCGCTGTCCCTCAGCTCTTCAGCTCAAGGCAAGCGCTCTACCACTCGAACTACAGCGCCACTTTCTTAGTGGTTTATTGGAGATAAGAGTTTCACGGACTTTCCTGCCTGGGCTGGCTTTGAACCGAGATCCTCAGATCTCAGCCTCCTGAGTAGCTAGGATTACAGGCGTGAGCCACCGGCAGCTGGCTGTACTGAGGTTTGAACTCAGGGACTCTTCCTTACTAGGCAAGTGCTTTACTACTTGAGCCAGGCCCTCAATCCAAGAAGACCTTCCAGGGGGTCCTTCTGCTACTTGCCTCAGACAAAGCTCATGTAGGAACTTGCAAACTCTCAAGAATGGTGAAGAACAAGCCAGGAGCAAGGGTCTTAATGGTGTGTCTTTGTCTGTCTTCTAGGATGCTAACCAGGAAATGAACTCCCTGGCTTACTCTAACCTGGGGGTGAAAGATCGCAAAGCAGTGGCCATCCTGCACTACCCTGGGGTTGTTGCTAACGGAACCAAAGCCAGTGCGGTTCCCACTAGTTCCTCTGGATCTTCATCTCCTATAGGCTCTCCTCCTACTACCCCTCCCACTAAACCCCCTCCCTTTAACCTGCACCCCTCCCCTCACCTGCTGGCCAGTATGCAGCTGCAGAAGCTCAATAACCAGTATCATGGGATGGCTGCTGCTGCCCCTACCCCAGGCCAACCTGGGGAGGCTGCGCCCCAGCAAAATTGGGGTTTGGGGGCTCAGGTGGGAGGGGCAGGGTCAGCCTCTCATTCTACCGGTGCCCAGAGTCCTGCAATTATTGATTCGGACCCGGTGGATGAGGAGGTGTTGATGTCACTGGTGGTGGAGCTGGGACTGGATCGAGCCAATGAGCTGCCGGAGCTGTGGCTGGGGCAGAATGAGTTTGATTTCACCGCAGATTTTCCCTCAGGCTGCTGATGCCAAGTAGTGCCCCTAAAGATGGAGGAATAAAGCCACAAATTCTGTTGTAAATAAAAATAAAACTTACTTGCAAAGTGACAAGCTGGCTGGGGATGTTCTTCATGGAGGTCTAAAGGTGTCAGGGCAGCCTGATGGACTGCCAATTCTGAGGCAACATGGTGGGGTTTCAGGCAGCTAGCTATGGGGGATGGGAGGAGTGAGGAGAGAGGGGAAGTGGGGGATGGCTGTTCTCTAAATTCTTCCTGTTACCACTACTGTCCTTAGCTTCTTCAGAGTCCCCTGACTCTAGGCTTATTGTCCCAGGACCCAGGGATGCCTTCCTATTCATGGTGAATACAGGCTAGAGCGTGCATCCTGGAAAGACAAACTTTTTTTTGTCAGTCATGGGGCCTGAACCTTGGACCTATCTGTGTGCTGTCCCTCAGTTCTTCAGCTCAAGGCTGGCGCTCTACCACTTGAGCCACAGCGCCACTTCTGGCTTTTTCTGCTTATGTGGTGCTGAGGAATTGAACCCAGGGCTTCATGCATGCAAGGCATGTGCTCTACCATTGAGTCACCTTCCCAGCCCAAGACAAACTTATTTAAACACCTCTGCAGCCTCCTTGCCACTGGTACATCCAAGTCTAAGGGCACATACCTGACCACATAACACACTGCCCCCAACTCTAAAAGCCACCAATTTAATTGTCCTATCAAGGCCATTCTTCACCCATTTGCCTATGCAAAGTAGAAGGTGCCAGAGATCCTATGACCTGGGAACTCAGATTTCTTTGGAAAATGGAAAGTTACAGACTTACAGAGCTAACCTTGGATTCTAGGTGCCTTCATTCAGCCCATCAGACAGCTATTCAACCCCTCCCTCTAAGCCTGGAAAACTGAGCAGATCAGAGCATTCTCTAACTGCCAATCTCCCTGGTCCGACCTGGGGTCAGCCTATCTGTATGGGCTAACTGCATTTTAGAAATATAAATGAGGTCAGGGCTTGACAAGTTCAAAGTCTGATGATGTATCTTTTTTATTCTGTCCTGGGGCTTGAACTCAGGGCCTGGCCACTGTCCCTCAGCTTTTGTGCTCAAGACTACTGCTCTACCACTTGAGCCACAGCTCTACCTCAGGATATTTTGGTAGTTAACTGGAGATAAGAGTCTCAGAGGCTGGCTTCAAACCATGATCCTCAGATCTCAGCTTCCTGAGTAGCTAGGATTACAAGTATGAGCCATCAGTGCTAGACTTGAAGGTATATCTCTTGTCCTTTGATTACTGAAGAAGCATTGGCTTTAGAAGTATATCAAGTGACAATGTTGTGGCCCTGCACTAGATAATGGGGGGGGGGAGTGCTAGTGCAGCTCTGACTTCATGCAGAGAACCCCGCTGCACACATTTCAAACTCCTTTATTGAACATTCTTTTTTTGGGGGGTCCGGTCGTGGGGCCTGAACTCTGGGTCTGGGCGCTGTCCCTCAGCTCTTCAAGCACTCTACCACTTGAGCCACAGTGCCACTTCCGGCTTTTTTCTTTTTGCTTATGTGGTGCTGAGGAATCGAACACAGGGCCTCAGGCATACAAGGCAAGCGCTCTACCACTGAGCCACCTTCCCAGCCCTGAACATTCTTTCTTGAACATGAAAACTACCCCAACCAATCAAGCTCAGCATCAAGCTTGCTTCATAGTGAGCACTTTCAAAGGAACCCTCCCTAGGGGCTGGGAAGGTGGCTCAGTGGTAGAGCGCTTGCCTTGCATGCCTGAGGGCCTGGGTTCAATTCCTCAGCACCACATAAGCAAAAACAAAAAAGCCTGAAGTGGCGCTGTGGCTCAAGTGGTAGAGCCCTAGCCTTGAGCTGAAAAGCTGAGGGACAGTGCCTAGACCCAGAGTTCAGGCCCCACGACCAGACCCCCAAAAAAAAAAAAAACAAAAAACAAATCAAAGGAGCCCTCCCTGACCCCATGCTCTGGGCCAGCTACTTTGGTAGATGCAGAGCATGAATCCAATAAAGTTTGCGCCTTTGAGGGGGCTCCCCATCTCAAAGAGAAAACTATACATTGCAACAAAGCAATATTTCCCAGAACATAGGGGCTTGTCTACTTGATCCCCCAAAAGGAAATAGCTCCATCTGCCTAGGGTGCCTGGCTGATGCTTTCTGGGATTGAGCTGGTCCTTTTGGTTTTGTATCTTACAAGCAATACACATACAGAACGGGATCTCCTTGTTGAAATTAGAGGAATTGGCTGGGCACCAGTGGCTCGCACCTGTAATCCTAGCTACTCAGGAGGATGAGATCTGAGGATCTCAGTTCAAAGCCAGCCCAGGCAGGAAAGTCCATGAGACTCTTATCTCCAATAAACTACTCAGAAAAATCTGGAAGTGGAGCTGTGGCTCAAGTGGTAGAGTGCTAACTTTGAGCACAGATTCAAAGACATAGCTCAGGCCCTGAATTCAAGCCCTACCACCACCAGAAAGAAAAAAAGAAAATAGAGGAACTGGCATATAGCTCAGTGGTGGAACATTTGTGTAACATGTATGAAGCCTTGAGCTTCATGTCCCAGCACTGTAAAACACAAAACACCAAAATAAAAAATGGAAACTTTGAAATAAGACTAAAGTACCCTTTGGCCAACTGTCTCCCTGAGTCCTGGTTGCCTCTGGACTTTCACAGAGACACCAACTGTTTAGCTGTCAGCAGTGCTTCCTTGTCGACCTTACTCTGTGCCTTGACATAAAGATATATCTAATAGAAAGAACAAGGTTTTAAAATAAGACTTGAGTCAGTCAAGGAGAGAATGAGTGAGGGCAACAGCTGTTACACAGGTGCAGGTTCATGAAAGGGGGCAGTGGTGGCTAACATCCAGGAGTTAAGCATGAAAGCTCAATGGCTTGTGGGGAGCACTTGAAGAGATGTGGCTAGAAGCTTGGTGGAGGCCGAATTCACATGGCCTTCTTAGAGCAGATGTCATGACTGATGATGACTGCAGAAAAATAAACAATCAACCAACTTTTTTTTAAAAAATTAATTTTTTTTTTTTGCTGGTCCTGGGGCTTGACCTAGGAGTTGTCCCTGAGCTTTTGTGCTCAAGTCTAGGGCTCTACCACTTGAACTATAGCTCCACTTCTGGCTGTTTTTGTGCTTAATTGGAGCAAGGTCTCAGACTTTTTTCTGCCTGGGCTGGCTTTGATCTATGATCCTCAGATCTCAGTCTCCTGAGTAGCTAGGATTACAAGCATGAGCCACTCGAGCCTGGCTCCCAATGTTTATTTTTAACTTTATCCCACTGAAAGTGAATGGTTTGATTCCTCTAAAGCTGGGAACAGGCAGACATGGGGCAGGGGCTAAGGAAGCTAGTAAGGCAGGGACAAGAAATTGGTAAGAAGCTATCCACCACTGGCCATACCTGTAATCCTAGCTACACAGGAGGTTGAGATCTGAAGATCATAGTTCAAAGCCCATCCAGGCAGGAAAGTCTGTGAGACTCTTAACTTCAATTATTCAGAACAAACAGGAAGTAGAGCCATGGCTCCAGTGGTAGACCATCATTCTTGAGAGAAAAAGCAAAGGGACAATGTTCTGTCCCTGAATTTAAGCCCTAGTACTGGCACAACAAAACAACAAAAGACTGGCCAGATGAAACATGTCAGCAAGCTGAATTGGGTATATGATCCCAAGTGTGTTCCCTTGATTTTTTTTTTTTTGTCGGTCGTGGGGCCTGAACTCTGGTCCTGGGCGCTGTCCCTCAGCTCTTCAGCTCAAAGCTGGCGCTCTACCACTTGAGCCACAGTGCCACTTCCAGCTTTTTCTGCTCATGTGGTGCTGAGAAATCGAACCCAGAGCTTCATGCATGCAAGGCAAGCACTCTACCACTGAGCCACCTTCCCAGCCCCTACCCTGATTTTTGTGAAGATCCAGACCCCAAAATAGCTGTATGACTTGGAGTTAAAAGAGGAGGCCTGAGTTAGAATCAAATGCCTCAGTGAAGGAGAGGGGCTTCCTGGGAATTGTGAAAGTGACAGGGTGCAAATGAGGGCCAGGTGGTGGCATAGAATAGCCTGGATAATCCTAATATATTAGTCAGGGTTATCTAGAGAAACAGATTGTGTGTGTGTAGATAGATACAGATATTATAGATAGATATTACAGAGAGAGAAAAAGAAAGAACAAATAGCAAATAGGCAAATGTGCTGGGGGCTCATGTTTGTAATCCTAGCTACTTAGGATAGAAGTTCAAAGATAGCCCAGGTAGGCACAGACAAATCTAAGAGACTCTTTGCTTGCTGAGCATGCATGAAGCCCTAGGTTCGATTCCTCAGTACCACACAAACAGAAAAAACTGGAGGTGGTGCTGTGGCTCAAGTGGTAGAATGCTAGCCTCCAGCAAAAAGCTCAGAAACAGTGCCCAGTCCTTGAGCTCAAGCCCCAGGAGTGACCAAAAAAAAAAAACCAAAAACAAAACATGAGACTCTTTTTTTTTCCTTTCCTTTCTTTTCTTTTAATTTTCTTGCCAGTCCTGGGGCCTGAACTCAGGGCCTAGACACTGTCCCTGAGCTTCTTTTGCACAAGGCTGGCACTCTACTACTTGAGCTAAAGCACTACTTCCAGCTTTTTCTGTTTATGTGGTACTGGGGAACCAAACCCAGGGCTCCATGCATGCTTGGTAAGCATTCGACCACTAAGCCACATTCCCAGCCTTAAGAGACTCTTTAAGTAATCAACAAAAAGTCAGAAGTAGGGGCTGGGAAGGTGGCTCAGTGGTAGAGCGCTTGCCTTGCATGCCTGAGGCCCTGGGTTCGATTCCTCAGCACCACATAAGCAAAAAGAAAAAAGCCGGAAGTGGCACTGTGGCTCAAGTGGTAGAGTGCTAGCCTTGAGCTGAAGAGCTGAGAGACAGCGCCCAGGCCCAGAGTTCAGACCCCACGACTGGACCCCCCCAAAAAAGTCAGAAATAGAGCTGTGGTTCCAGTGGTAGAGCACCAGCCTTAAACAAAAGAGCCAGGCAAGAGCACCCAGGCCCTGAATTTGAGCTCCAGTACTGGCACCAAAGAAACGAGTAGAAATTGGCTTATTAA